CACAGTTGCAATTATGTGTCCATTTTTAATAACATCTGTATCTTCAATCTGCATTTTCTTCATTTAGACAACAGGATAAGACGAACAAGGTGAGTAACCTACGTATTCAATTATCTATTGTACTATATTTGTATTTACAGTAAATAATCAAATATCAGTCGTGTTCAAAACCTAGGATTTAATAGTGTTCAACAAAATAGTCATTACAATACATAGGAATATCAGTTATAAAAAAAATGAAACACATGGTTAAATTATTATTTGTTTATAAAAAAAAGCTTCTGCAGCCGGTTCGTTTTTTTCGGCACAATAAACCTATATTAATCTCACTTTCTATCGATATTTACTTTTATTGACCCTCGGAAAAAATATTTAGCTGCGCCACCACTTCGGTAACTATTTGTTTATTATTTTATAAACTTTTCACACAGTGCACCATAATACGAGGTTATCACGAGTATAATTTGCAGTATCCTCGTAATAACATTATTATTATACATCTTTTCCTCCCAGGGATACATCCGTTTAGAACAGATTTAGCGAACTTGTTTGTGTGGGGTCCGGTCAAACTCTGGTGGCAGCCATATTTTTTTATTATTATTAAAGGACGCTCACGCGCGTATTCGTTCCATATTTGGAATTTGCGTTTCCTAATATGGTAGGATGAAAATACCCAGTGCTATACGGCAAGCTGTAATTTATGGCGTAACGCTGACATATGCATATTGATGTATGTTAATTATCAGCTGCATTTGTTTACAGCTATAAAAATTACATAGGTTGCTATGAAGACGTTGACCATCTCACTGATGGACTAACTCCGACCAACGGTGGCAACACGATGACAAACGATGAATGCGTAGATTTATGCGGAGACGAACAGACAACACCCGGGGACTTGTATATTGGTTTGACATTCCCTGGAACGTGCTATTGTGACCTGAATATAGAAACATTTGTTCAAAGATTCGACGATTTCTGCACGGGAAATGCTGCATATTTCTTACCTATTTACAAATTAGGTAAAATTAGTTGACTACTATTGTTATATAATTGTGATATGCACATACATTTTTGAATAATGAGTCATTTGATAAAGCCCAGTCATTGACACAAACAAAAACAAATCATACATACATTTTACAGCAGATGTTTCAACACTCAATCACATTTCGAACAACTTTCATGGTATATTCTTAACACATACATTGGTGATTAACTTACTGTATCTTGTTTATTTAGTTGCTTGAGTCAAATCCGTTTGACACGCGTTAGTGTTCTACACTTAGGTTACAGTAAGTGTGACGTAAATAAAGACCACTCCGAAAGTTGAAATGAACGAAATGCGCTTCAAACAAACGCAAATATGGCTTTTCACGGAAATTCAATTTCTCCATGTTATAATTATTCAGACAAAGCGCTTAAAGTTATTGTTTTTGACGCTTATATGCGCATATATATCATGCTGCAATTGGAAAATGTTTTCCCCGAACAACTATTATGACAAAGTGCGATTACAAATTACTCAAATCACGGATTTTCAAGAAGAAAATATATAATTCACACATAATGATATTTTGTATCATAACGTCTGCGAATAAGATTCGTTTTTTGTTGGCGTAAATTGTCTCTCCATATTTACAATTTCAAGTTGGATTTATTGTAAGGATAATATTTGTTTCAGCTGTGAAGGAAGTTTGTCTTCTTAAAAGACCTTTTATTTTTGTTCAAATATCCTGTGTCTTTTTTTATTATTTATCAATAGTAATTGTTATAAGCCACAAGTCGATAATGCGCCGAAAAAATAGAATTATTAACTATTAACTATTATTAACTATTAACTATTATCAACTATTGTTAACTATTAACTATTATTAACTATTATCAACTATTATTAACTATTAACTATTAACTATTATTAACTATTAACTATTATCAACTATTATTAACTATTAAATTATTTATAGTTTTGGTCATTTGTCTCCAAAGACTGAAATACTTGATTACATATGCATTAAATTACGCAATTGTTTGTAAACAATGTCGTGCAAATAAATATTGCTCGTTTGTATCTGTTTGTCATTTAGAATACAGATAATCATTAAAATTCGAAATAGACAGTATTCACGCTGTTAACGGCCTCTTTCAATGCTATTCGTCGCTGAAGATCGAGTGTATCTAATTTCTGATAATAATTGTACGATGGTATATATCAATATTGTTTAAACACACGTGGACACACTGTAAAGGTAAATGTATTATATGTAACAAGCTTTGATCAAATATATTTTTAGAAACGGAAAACTACATGGGATGCTACTTTGATACGAGCGACATTTTAAGCGGAGAGACCCCCGTGAATTCCGAAAGTCCAATGACGCTATCAGAATGCCTGGTTGAATGTGCAGACCAAATGGGCAGTTCCAGTTTCATATACGTTGGTATGGAACGTTTTGAAACATGTTTCTGCGATGTACCTACAGACCAGCTTCAGTCTGTGGGCAATGAAGACTGCATGGGTGGAGATAGCTTCCTTACTGTTTACAGAATAGGTAATCTGATTTACTTATTGTTGTACAATTCAATAACATTGTCGAATGCTTACATTTTAGAAGGAATACAATTCAGTTTACTATTATGTGAGTCTAGAGGGCGGTAGTCGTCGCATCGCGCATGCGCAGTTCACTCACACTGATGAAAATTTCGACTTTGATTGTTATGCAGCTCAACGCGTGTAAACAAAAGGCAATGACAATTTTAACCATGTGATTCGCGGGATGATATCGAATCGATGTCGGCATTTATCACACTTCGCGATCAGACACAAATCCACGTTCTCGTTTGTCACTGGGAGAGCGCATTTGGTTATTAGAGCGCAGTGGTAGTCGCGCGGCGCGTGTTCGAATTTCATGTAAATAAACAATGTATTTTACACGCGTTGTATACGTCGCTATGAGTCCCATATGGAACAGGACGCGGCACGACGACTGCCGACCCTCAACCAACACGAATCTTGCATACCGCATCGACCATCACTCTCTTATTACTGTGATATACAAGAATTAGTTGTTTCACCCAAATCAACATTACTGCGCTACACTTTGTTAACGTGTACTCTATCTAGAAAAGTATTTCACGTTCCTCATCTTGAGTTTGCTATTTAATTATTTTTTTTAAATGAGTTAGCTGAATTTTTTGATTATGTGAGCGTATGTTTTTTTTTCTATCACTTACATAGACGTCACAGCGGTAGTCAGAGGTGATCCCCACATGAAGACATTCGACGGACGTCGATACAGCTATCAAGGCCTGTGTTGGCACACTCTATTCAAAGACTGTTCCGAAAATGATGCTGCGTTTGAGGTTACTGCAAAATTTGAACCTACAGTTGACCGCACAAAAACTAGAACTGTTTCCGTCAACGTAACAGTTGGGAACGAGTACGCGATTGTAGATCAACTCAACGTAATAACAGTAAGTTTAATTGTACTTGTTTGTAAGTTTGCGTTGAATTATAATTTGCTACACTCAATTTGCTTACGCCGCTTTGGTATTTTAGTAAATCAATTGTATTACGTGCACGCACGTATTTCAACTTTTCATTCTTGTATGAGAGGAGTAGCTGGTACAGGTTGCATGAAATTAAAAATGCATTTTACGTTTTTACAGGAAATAAAAAAAATACACTGAAAATAGTTTTTTTTTTACAATTTACAGATGAAGCAAATTCCTAATTACATTTTTATAATATACTTGGTAATTTGGGTTTAAGAATGAAAATTGGAAATATCGTACGAATTACGACATTTAATGTTGAAAAGGCTTTATACGCTTACAAAAAATAAGATCATTGTACAAATTACGGACGAATAAGATAGCTAATTACATTTTACACATTGTCCATATCTACGAATTTACGTTTTTTATTTATTTACATTATTACATTATTACGAAAATAAAAACAATTGATTACAGCTTATGAAAATACCCCTTGCCGACCCTCCTGTATTATTATTATTTAAACACGTGAAATACATATGATTACACTGATCATGTGACCAAGAAGTACTATTTATTACGCTGCAATAAAGTACTATCACGTGATTACCAGACTTATCTCTGTCTACAGTGGGTCCCTCCGTAGTGTATAGCTGTAGCTTACTCGTACATCGATCAACTCTTAAATAACTACTAATTACCAAAGCAGCTACATAGTATGAAAACAAATGAATATACAAACATAAATCCATAGGAGTACTGTCCTAAGTCTACGATATCACTGGTTTTCGGTTCTATTGTTAAATTTGAATATCATTCATATGATCTTCATCTAGAGTATTTAGTGAAAATAGTGAAACAGTGAAAATAAAACGCAACGATTAATTAAAAGTGTATTATGATCATTACAATCATCACCCTATGTCCCTTATATAATAATTAATTAATGTTGAATTTTGTTTACAGTTTTTAATATTTTTATTAAATATTAAATGGGTGTTAAATACTAACAAAAAAAATACTGGATAATTATGTATGAACTTGAAGAATTGTATCTATCCAATCATTGTGACGTACAAAAAGGAAAAAATATCAAGTTGACAGGCATTGAATTGTCACTAGAGCAAACACATGCTGTAATTATTATTATTTTGATTTAAAGATTGTACAAACAAGTTATGGAAAACTGAGGAAATTTTCTTATGAAGTTAACACGTAACTCAACAACAATAACTATCTCTTTTACCCGCTATGGATGCGTAAAATTAAAACGAGCTTGGAATGGTATCCTGCATAGGCTTAGCCTTAACCTTATTCCTACCAGCTCCCACTTGTTATAGTCTGCATTTTCCTTCTGAATATTCGGGATAAAAACAGCCAATAATTTTGAATAAAATCTTTTATTTCTTTTTCAAATTTTGTGTTTCCTCAAAAATTATAGTTCATTTCCTGAATTTTTTATGAAATTATGAGAAAAAAGTTCAGAAAAATTTAAGCACGAAAGTCTGATGGCGGAAAGTTTAATAATTCGACATATTCAACTATTTGAATGTCTTCATGAAAGTATGTTAATTGTAAAAAAAAAGGAATATTATGTGAAAATGGGAGAATCTACAATGCAACGCGATAACATATATCTTTGAATCGTAGGGGCAGACCACGGGTTTTGTTTCAGAACCGAGAAGAATACAGGTACAAGAAGATGGCAAAACGATTAGTTTCATCTTCAAGTCCAAAGACACTACATTCACATTGAACTGGACATTGCTCAGACACGTGTTTGAAGTCTCTTTCGAGGGTTCTGACTACAATGGTAGAATGTGTGGACTTCTGGGTAATGCCGATGGCGAAGGAAGTAACGACTTTGTGAAACCAGACGGTACTATTGTATCTGATGTCGATGAGTTTGGAAAAAGTTGGAAGGTGTATGGAAAGACGTAAGCTGTGTTTTGTTATTCACATGAATATTTGCAAAATTAATTAATAAATTAAGAAACTCGTTCAACATTTGCATATCGGTACATATATACGTTTAACATTTTTACCACCAAACTTTCTCGCCTAAATTATTCTGCATCTTTTTCTTATAATTTTCAATATTTCCGGAAAATGAACCCTAATTTTGAAAGCAATAGACACAATTTGATGCAATTTTCAGTTTTAAATTTGGCTACTTGTGTCCCAATCTTCGGAAGGAAAGTGCAGACTATAAATAGGACTATTCTGTGAACTCGTGATGAAAGGCGGGAACTTGTGGTGAAAAGGTTGATATCATTTTTCCCTAAAATATTTGTAAATTTAAGTATTATAAGATATTATAAGTTTTCAATGGTAAGGTCAATATATTGGAATTACAAACGTATGCAAATTTTTAAATCGATTCAGGCTGGTGTGATCGAGACTGCGTAATATACCCTTTGTCGCTTATGCGTGGTTTAATATGCAACTGATGACAACCCATGTAAAATAGGTAAATTTGAGAACACCCACCATTTTTATTTACCAGTCACCAGTACATACTCCAACCCATGGATGTTTTCATGTCAATTCTTTTTACTATTAGAATTAACAAAATTGAATAATGCGAATTATGTTAATTGTTTTGCAGGTGTGATTAAAATTGTCGTTTAAGAGGAGCGAAATGTATGGAACGGCTATAATTACCCCCCCCCCCCCAACGATTAACGTAATACTTCTGTTGCAATGGTTGAACGCGTAATGTATTCATAGTTTGGTAGATTGCATGAGATTGTAACTTCAGGAATGGTGAATTTCGGTGTTTTAGGTGTGACGATAGAAGATACAAAAATATTTGAAATGTATAACATATAAATCGATATATTAATAAAATGCATACATGAAAAACAATAATTTGAATGTGTATTACTTAGATGACAGTCTGTTTTGTTTACAAGCTTTACCAACTATATTGATTATGTTGCCTTCGTCATTCCTAATATCTTAGATGGGTACAAGTAATAACGTTCAAATATACAACTACGTTGTGGTTGTTGTGTTCTTTACCCGTTACAATTTGGCAAATCTCTGAAAAAAATTTAATTTTATATTATTGAGACGACCACAGCCCAAAACAATAAACTCGCCATCATCACTTTTTAAACGTCACAAAATTGCATTGTCGACGATAGCGGGCGCAATAATAAAAACAGTTAATACTACGTGGAATAAAATTTAATCGTTATTTTGTCATTGTCGTTTCTGCAATAATTACTCTTCTAGTCGTGTTAGATCATCACGCGCATTTATTAATAATATTCGGGCGGACAACCGGGCATTTTCATCGCCTGGCATCCATCACGGTGAAAACAAAGGCCGAAAACTCCCAGAAAACGCTACTTTGAGGTGGCTGTTGAAAATCCTCTGAACAGTGTAACAAGATTACCCCTGCGTGTGTAACGCATATAAATTTGGTCGATCCGGATTACTTCTAGGTTGAGTTTGTATTGTTTAATTTAATTGAATTTAGCTATTTTCGACGGGCGTTCCACATCAGTGCCCATAGAAATACACGGTACAGCGGTGCGCGTCTCAGCAACGTGGAACGTCTTGTGACGTAGCTCCGCCCCTGAGCATGTGCTAAATGCTGTTGTATCCCGCCCTCTATGTCATGTCATTGTCAATTCATTTTTGCTTTGATAGTCACGCTTATGAAATATATGAAATAAGTAGGTCGTATCTTAAAATGAGACCGCCCATTCAAACAGTTTCTCCTGTGACAATCTATAAGTATTTCAGTGTATTGATTTGCCGTATAATGGCTGTATAAAATGTGAGGGCTGACTGCATTGCAATATCAAGCAAGAGCTGGCTGAATGTATTACTTTTCACTTTGTCATGGATCTGGGCGGATTGGCACAACTTGGCATATATATAAAGTGTGTATCAAAACATGGCGGCCTCTATGTGGAGATGTGTTTATATTTCTAATAGTTTTCACCAGGATAACCAGCATAACAAATCCCAGCAATGCTTGTATGCAGGCAAATGATTGTAATTACAATTTTCAGTCAGGCTCTATTTTATAATGTTTAAGGCCAATATCTTTCAAAACCGTCCTGTATTGTTTTGCTTTGTGTTCAATGAAATAACCATGTATGTAATTGTATACAGTGACTGCTTATTTCTGCTCACTTCTCTCAATGTGAATTGTGACATAATTGATTTGTTCTGTGGCTTAATTAGAACATGTTAATTTGGTGATGCCATGTTATCCAGACAGCACTTTGAAAGTTCAACTGTTATGTGTAAGAACACCATCTGTTTACACGGGCCAGCTGTGAATGTAGAGACATGAATTAAATGTTTTTGTGCGTTTATCCATTTTTTATATAGCATGGTTCATTCAGGTTTAGTTACAGTCGGCTTTAGCTAAACACAGATTACTACACTATCTACCCCCTCTAACACTGTGATAAAGATTTGCAGTTTTCGACATTGTGAAAATCTTTCGTTTTTATGCAGAAAAATATAGTATTTTAACCAAGTAAAATTATATTTATCACAGTTATTTCATATTCCGTTATGAATTATCTTGTCAAGATCAGTTTATTCAGGGGTTTTCTCCCAAAAAAAAAGAATTCCACAAAATCGAAAATTGAAAGTTTTTATAGTAGTTTATACCAACAACCTTGTATTGATTCAGATCAATGTGACAGCTGTGACGTACAAACGTCTTTACTTTTCTAAATCATTGACTAGGAAAGTTAAGCGAATTATAGAATACAATTTCATCAACATTATTTCCTTGTCTCGTGGTGCGGGTGGAGAATATAACCAGCATCTCTCCTCCTCCTCCATGCTTCTCTGTCCTGCGCCGCTACTTCTGTCTATGCCCAAGTCACGTTCATTTTTTCATTTACTGCCAATTTACTGACTGTGTATTATGCTACTAATTTGAGGTCGGGATAATTATTCTGAAATATAGAAGCTCAAATTTGTGACGAGACACACTTGTTTTTCAATGTTTGAAAACCATTCGGGACTGCATCACTCAGATGGTTGATAGGTCATTAGGGGTCAAAGCCTTTGAGCCTAATAAGCATGGTTCGAATCCACTTCTGCCGTTATTCAGCTCAGCCGTATAAGAATACCGCTGAACAGAATCGGCTCAAGTTTTCTATAATGATAGGCTATAATATAACACCTGATCTTTGGCAGCGAGATACGCATGCGCGAGATATACGGGTCGCATATAAACAAAGATGGCGACTTTGATTGTTGCACAGATCAACGAGTACAAACGGAGACGTTACCAAGTTTTTAATAGGTATTTTTAGATGAATGGAAGGTATCACCAGCGGTGATAAGTGAAAGTCATGCCCAGGTCAAACCTCATACTTGTGTATTCCATTCAAAGAGAACATTGGATTGTGGGAAAATCAATGTTTATCAACAACAAATGTCGCACATGCGCAGCGCGACGACCACCGCCCTTTAAATACAGATTCCACTAAAATGACATTAAACGTACTCCCTACAATACAGGATGTAAATGGTTCAAGCATCACCATCTAATGTGTCTTCACTATACAAGTTAATGACAGGTACTAGCAATAACAATAAATGTACCTCCAAAATTACAGATTATATACTAAACATGACATTGAGTGTCCCGAGTAAACAAATTATTATACAGTAATGCGACTTCGGTTCCTTCACGCTCTCACAAGCCTATTTACTCCACAGTTATTCTGCTAATTCTTCTAGACAAAAAAAACAAAGTAAAAGTAGTGTTCTCAATTGCAATATTCGTCAGTGAAATTAAAATAAACGTTGTGTACTGAAGCAGACGACACACTGTTTCATTAAATAACATACTAATTTGCATACCGCCAGTGAAAATACAGGTCGGCCAGGCACGTCCTAAATATCACACCCTTGTAAATTCCTTGTATGTTCTGCAGCCAATGTATTGCATTTAGCGATGCTCTGTGATGTTGATTACAGTGTATTTTTAAAATCTCCTATGATGACGATCTAAGCATTTCTGCATTAACAATAACAACAAAAAACAAACAAACATACGTGATTATGCATATTTATTGCCCACTTTGCATATCAGTAATGGCTATAACAAATTTTTCTTCACGGGTACATCAGAGTGAATATTAATAATATATATAACAATATTATAGATTCAAGAATTATTAAATATAGCATTAAATATGTTTGGTCAAAATGAATATATAAACAAAAATTTCAGTTGTCAGTAATGTTCAAAGTATGATAAATGCTATTTTCCCGCCAAAATGTATTGGGATTTCGGAAATAAAATTTTGGAGATAAAACAGTGAATTTAAACTTTGAACTCTTAACCCTTCAGCAATTACAATCTGAATTTATACAGCTCACAAATCAGTTACAAAAATAGTTTATTTTTGTACTGTGACAGACTGTTTTTTTTTATGAGAATAAGAACTGTTTCAATCACACCACCTGAGACTGTCTGTCAACAAACTATCAGCCAACGCATTATGTACATATCGGATTGGAGAAGTCACAGCATGCAACGTCTGGTCATTCCGGGGGAACAGCAGACTTTTCGATACTTCGTAAAAAACGTTATCCTCGGGGGCGGACATCCGGGCATTTTCTACCGGGCTAGTACATCCGGGCACTTTCTACCTTCGCGGTGAAATTGAAACAAAGACCAAAAACTCACAGAAAACGGTAATTTGCGATGGTTGTTGAGAGTGCCCTGAACAGTGTAACAAGATTAGCCCTACGTGTGTAACATATATGAATTTGGTTGTTCGGGATTACTTGAAAGTTGAGTTTGTGTTGTTTTCTCGAGTTTTCACCGGCTCCACTGGCGTTCCAAAGCAGCACGCACAAATACGTGGTACAGTGGTGCGCGTCTTAGCAACGTAGAACGTCCGTGACGTAGCTCCGCCCCCGAGGATAGAAAAGTAGTACTTCTCTTCAATGACTATAAATTTAATATTGTTGCTTTTACAGTGTTATAATCTGAGAATTAAAATAACAACTCAGAATGATCCGAATAGTAGGTTACACAGCTCACCTCAACAAATAACTTCCTGGCCTAGTGTCAAGTGTATTCTTTGTGTATGGCTGAGGTGCATAATTTAATTTCGTATTTTGAATTAATAACTGTATATAAATAATTCTAACAATGAATTGAAATCGTAATTTTACTGAAAAAAAAGGTTTCATCTATGGGGTTTTAATGCCCGTTCTAGATGTAAAGCGGTTGACACATCGTTGATTCGAAACAGGTTTGGAAGCTTATTTCTAATTGCCGGTCACTATCTCGTTGACTTGTTGATGAACTTAGTTTCTCTCGCAAACGTCAATGTAAATGGGATCCGGTAGACATGCTGATAAATCTAATTATTGTTTTTATTAGAAGATAAATACAAACAAAGAGATAATAAATAGCTCAAATACGACATAGTGCAGTGTTGGCGATGGTGAATCGCGGCTTCGAAATAATTTAGTTCGCATTGAGCCAGTTCTCATCGCAAACGTGTGTTTGCAACAATGGAAGTGATATTTGTTTAGTTCAATTCACTGACGACATCGTATTTTATGAGTTGTACAATCCGAAACGTGCACACTGTGTTGGATACTAGTTAGTTGATATTTATTATCGAAGGGTGTGACTGAAATGGATCTTATTTTCATAAAAAAAGCAACCTGTGACAACACATGAGTAAATCATATGCAGCTGCTCTGGTGAGCTACGTCATATCCGCTTTATATCACATGTTTAAAATAT